TAAAACAAATACAGTGACAAAATTCAACAAGGTTGTAAGATAAAAGATCTCTCTAATAATCTGTTGCATTTCTAGATATACAGTAAATATAGCAATGAACTATCCGAAATGGAATTAATTCCATTCACAATAGCATAAAAAAGGTTAAAATATTTAGGAATAAACTGAATAAAAGTGTGAGCTTCTACCCTGAAATCTATAAATTAAAGGAGATCTGAATAGAGAGACAGGGAGAGACATTCCACGTGTTGGAAGACTCGTTCCTAATGTGGCAGTCTCTGTGAGAATCCCAGCAGGCTTTGTGAAGGATGAACAAGCTGATGCTAAAATGGAAATGGAAATGCAGACTCAGAAGAGCAGAAAGAGTATTGACAAGTAAAAACAAATTTGGAGAACTAATACTTCCCGATTTCAAAACTTACTATGAATCGAGATAGCATTGTCCTGGGATAGGGATCTGTCTAGAGCTATCTATCACTTGTCTATCTCAGTGATACAATTGGGCATCCTGAAGTTAATTCTTAAATTCATGGTTAATTGGTTTTCCTCAGAGGTTGGAAAGTAATTCAACGGAAAAAAAGATTGCCCTTTCAGCAAATGAAGCTGGAGTAATTGGATATTCACATGCAAAAGGTTGAATGTAGACCCTTCATTATAATGGACCATAGAACTAAATGTTAGAGCTAAAACTATAAAACTTAAGAAGTCATAGGTGAGAATATTCATGACCTTGGGTTTGACAAAGCTTCCTTTTAAAACAATATTTTTCCTTTATTGATTTTAGAGAGAGAGAAACATCGATGAGAGAGAACATCGACTGGCTGCTTCCTGCATGCCCCCTACTGGGGATCGGGCCCACAACCTGGGCATGTGCCCTGACCGGGAATTGAACTGGTGACCTCTTGGTGCATGGGTCTCTGCTCAACCACTGAGCCACATATGCTGGGTGCTAGGAGTCTTTTTGGAGTAAGGGACATGTTTCAAGTTTGATGGAGCTAATGGTGCAACAACTCTAAATGTACTAAAATGAATTGTTTACTAAAATGAACAAGGCAGACTGTATCTCCCCAAGGGGTGCGTGTCTCTGTGCTCTGGGTCAGGTGCTGGGGAGTAGTGTCAGGGCTCAAACTGTGACAGTTTCTCTTAGGAAAACAACTGGTGGGAACCAGATCATCACGAGTGGACACTCCTGTTGAGAAGCTGATAGGAGGGAAGGGCAGGAAAACGAGGACAGGACTGTGCACGCACTGCCCGGTGGCTCTGGGCCCAGGCTGGAGCCCCTTGGGACTGCTTGCCCGTGGCTGCGGCCAGCTCGGGGACAGCCGTGGTTGTCGAGTCTGGGCTGTGGGACCTGCAGGCTACCAGAAGCTGAAAGAAGCACCTTGGCCCCTGGTGGTCCCTACTGATGCTAACTGGGACTCTGCCTGAAGACCAAGGGAGGGGACTCAGTCTGGAAGAGGGGGTGGGCCCACGGGAAAGGCAGAACCAGGAGAGGCAGCCAGCAGACCAAGAAGGGAGTCGGAAAGCATTGAGAAAGCAGAAACAGCCGAGTATAAGCCTGGTGCTCTGTATTCTTACTCCCGTAGTTTGTTACCTGAAACCACATGCTTTCGGCTAGGTGAGCTGGGAATTGGTGGTGGCTGCCATGCTTGAGGGCCTGGGGCCAGAGGGTGAGGACCAGTGGGGAGGTGGACCCAGGTGACCCAGGCTGAACTGAGAGCCCCTGGGGTCTCATAAAACAGGAAGGACCGGGAAGTCCCTGGAGCACTGGTTGAGAACGCCCCCTTTAGACAGGTAGCTGGGGAATGAGTCTAACTGAGTCATCCTCTCCTGGGCGCATGTGGGAGCTCCTGAGGTGAAGTCCCCGCACACGCACACGCACACGCACACGCACTCAGAGCAGTCACAAGAGGGACTGAGGAGGTGTGTCCACTCCAAAGCCTGCGCTGTGCTCCCCTAGGACTCCTTGGAGGAGAGGGGGGGCTGCCCTGGCTTCAACATGAGGGCCCCTAGTTGGGGGGCTCCCCTGGGAACAGACACCTGCCCCTCCCTCAGCTCACAGCATTTATACAGATAATTGGCAATTTCTCCCGTGGGTGGTGAATGGTGAAAGTTGGTGGTTTGCCCTGGCCAGTTTGGCTCAGCGGTTAGAGCGTCGGCCTGCGGGCCGGAGAGACCTGGGTTCGGTTCCCGCTAAGGGCACGTACTTCGGTTGCAGTTTGTCCCCGGCCCTGGTTGGTCGTGCGGGTGGCAGCCACTCGATGTGTCCCTTCACGTCGATGTTTCTCTCTCTCTCTCTCCCTTCCTCTCTCTCCCTCCCACTCTATCTGTACAAAAAATGGAAAAATATCCTCGGGTGAGGATAAAAAAAAAAAAAAAAGAAAGAAAGTTGGTGGTTTGCGGAGTGCGGGCATGCTAAATAGCTATCTCAGATAGTGAATAGAGAAAACTGGGTTTATTTAAAGAAAAGGGGTGGGGATGGGGATATCCAAGGGGAAAGGCTACACCTCCCCGAGCCAGGGGGGGTTGGTGGATGATGGCAGCCCCTGGGAGCTGCAGTTTTGTCCTTGTAAGCATCCACTGTTGGGATGCTTTTGTCGTCAGGGGGTTTTGGGGGCTTGGTTGGTGGATTTGGGCAGGTGGTGGGGTCTACAGGAATGTGGGTGCTTCTTTGGCAGTTTTAGTTCCTCATATGGTTCGATTCCTGGCATCTGGCATTTCTTGTTCAGCCTGTTCTCTTGTGGTGGGAAGTTTGATCTTTGTTCTCCTGTGGTGGGCCTTAGGGTCCCCCTGCCACGGCCCTCGGGGGTCCACTGCCACGGCCCTCGGGGTCCCACTGCCACGGCCCTCGGGGTCCCACTGCCACGGCCCTCGGGGCCCCACTGCCACGGCCCTCAGGGGTCCCACTGCCACGGCCCTCGGGGTCCCACTGCCACGGCCCTCAGGGGTCCCACTGCCACGGCCCTCGGGGTCCCACTGCCACGGCCCTCGGGGGTCCACTGCCACGGCCCTCGGGGTCCACTGCCACGGCCCTCGGGGTCCCCCTGCCACGGCCCTCGGGGTCCCCCTGCCACGGCCCTCGGGGTTCCACTGTCACGGCCCTCAGGGGTCCACTGCCACGGCCCTCGGGGTCCCCCTGCCACGGCCCTCGGGGTCCCCCTGCCATGGCCCTCGGGGTCCCATTGCTGTGTCAGTCCTAACAGGCAGGTGGCACTAAAAGGAACGTTCTCTACTGAGCTCACTGTTGTGATGAGGAAAAAGCCAACCAGAGCAAAACATGTTTTGATATTTAGAGTTTAGGGACATGCCACTCGTCTTCTGCGCTGGAACAGTCTCGGGTCCCACAGGCAAGACTTCCGCTGCTCCCCGCGCCTCTTGGATTTTCTCTCCGATTTGCCGACACAGTGGGACCTCCGTTCTCAAACTCGATTTGTTCTGGAAGGCTGCTTGAAAAGCGCTTTGTTCGAAAGCCGAATCCGTTTTCCCATTAGAAATCATGTAAGTTGACCTAATTTCTTACAGACCCCCAAATGATTCCCTGTTTTAACCTTTTTTCCCTCAACTGAGGACATTTTTGCACTTATCTTCAGATAGAGCGGGAGGGACAGAGGCAGGAAGAGAGAGAAACATCGAAGGGAGAGAGACACATCGAGTGGTTGCCACCCACACGACCCCAACCAGGACCGGGGACAAACTGCAACCGAGGTACGTGCCCCTAGCGGGAACCAAACCCAGAACTCTCTGGTCCACGGGCCGATGCTCTAACTGCTGAGCCCAACCGACCAGGGCTGTCTTAACCTTTTTTTTTTTAAGAAAAATGTTTTTATTAATTTTGTCTGGCCAGTGTGGCTCAGTGGTTGAGCGTCGACCCATGCACCAAGAGGTCGCCAGTTTGATTCCCCGTCAGGGCACATGCCCAGGTTGTGGGCCCGATCCCCAGTGGGGGGCATGCGGAAGGCAGCTAATAGATGTTCTCTCTCATCGATGTTTCTCTCTCTCTTTTTCCTTTCCTCTCTAAAATCACTAAAGGACAAAAAAGATTAAAAAATAATAAAATAAATGTTCATATTGATTGCAGAAGGAAAGGAAGGGAGAAGAGAGAGAGAAATATTGATGTCCTGAGAGTCAAGGGGTCGCTGCTTTTGTTCCTGGTTGGGGTGTGTGCCTGGGTTGTGGGTTTGATTCCCAGTCGGAATGTGTTTGGGACATGGCCAATAGGTGTTTCTCTCTCACACTCTATGAGCCTCGAGCAAGCAAGAATATTTAAATGTTTCTTCCAGAACTCCCTGAGGGTTACATTAGTTTCAGAGATCACTTCAAAACACCTCTGCCCTGGTCAGGTGGTTCAGTTGGTTTGAGTGTCATTCTGTACACCAAAAGGTCATGGGTTCGATTCCCGATCAGGGCACATACTCACATTTCGGGTTTGATCCCCAACCAGGGTGTGTATGGGAGGCAATTAGTGTTTCTCACATTGATGTTTCTCTCTCTCCTGTCCTCTCTCTCTAAAACTCAATAAAAACATATCCTTGGGTAAGGAGAAAAACAAACACCTCTGAAACAGTGCCTTTGTGTAGAGTTTCTTAAATGAGAAATGACCTCCTGGCCTGTGGGCTGGGGGACAGTAGAGTGTGAGGGGGGAAGACCCTGACAGGGATGAAGCTGTGCCCCTCCTCCAACTCAGGCTCTGAGCCTGGAGGGGGGCAGGAGCCTTGCCCATTACAAGAAGTGCCCTGAGTGGCAACTGTTTTCCCAGAGGTATCTCTTCACACTTGGGGCAAACACTTCATGAATCCACTCGATAAAGACTTGCCTGGTGACTCAAGCTTTGCTATTAGCCCTTCATGTCACATTCAACTTGTTTTTCATGACGTTATTTTTCTTGAAAACTCACAGGTTTTCAGACCGGTGGACTTCACTATGAAGTCCCCACACACATTTCACACAGTGACGTCAGCCCATCTTTCACTGGCTGGTGTCCCGTCAATGACTTCTGTGCGATGGAGGTCCTCTTTGGCATTTTCTTCCAGAAGAGTCCTATCTTAATTGAACTCTTGTTGGTAGAGAACCCTTTACATAATCTTGAAATTCTGTCATAAATTATCAGCAGCTTCATAGTTAGAACGGGCAGCCTCACTCCACTATGATGCCATTTATTTTTTTTTCTTTATTGACTTTAGAGAGAGAGGAAGGGATAGAGAGAGAGACAGAGACATTGATGAGAGAGAACATTGACTGGCCGCCTCCTGCATACCCCCAATGGGGATCTGGCCCACATCCTGGGCATGTGCCCTGACTGGGAATTGAACCAGTGACCATCCTGGTGAATGGGTCGACACTCAACTACTGAGCCACATCAGCTGGGCACCACTTTTTTTCTTAAATGTACCCCACCACCCCTTAAACAGATCACTTTCAGCACGCTTGCCGGGGGTGTCTTTCAGGAGGTCAGCACACAGCATCTTTGTTTTTTCACATATTGCCTCCTGAATGCTATCGCTGGCTAGCTGCTTCTTTTTTAAAATTTTTTTTTTCTTTACTGATTTCAGAGAGAAGAAGGGAGAGGGAGAGAGAGATAGAAACATTGATCAGAGAGAACATCCACTGGCTGTCACCTGCATGCCCCCCACTGGGGAGCAGGCCCACAACCTGGGCATGTGCCTTGACTGGGAATCGAACCAGGGACCTTTTGGTGCATGGGTTGACGCTCAACCACTGAGCCACACCAGCCGGGCTGCTGCTTTTCATTTTTCCAATTCAACAACAATTTTCTTGACCTCTTCAATCGCCTGTGATCATTGGTTCATGAACACATTCACACCCTGAGCACATCAGCACTCCTGAGGGTCTCCTTATGTTTTAAAATTGTGCTAATCCTCGATCTCACCCTGCCATACTCGGTGGTCAGATCAGACACACGAACGCCTCTGTCATATTTTGTAATTCTTTCTTTTTTGTTTTGTAAGCTCTAAGGTTCTTCCCACAGCTTTCCTTTTCACCATGCTGCTGTCACTAACCTTCCTAGGACCCATGGTGACTTACTGCAGGTATTTAATAATAATAAGCAGCAGCCCGGCCGGTGTGGCTCAGTGGTTGAGCGTCGACCCAGGCACCAAGAGGTTGCTGTTTCAATTCCCAGTCAGGGCACATGCCCAGGTTGTGGGCCCGATCCCCAGTGGGGGGCACGCAGGTGGCGGCCAGTCGATGTTCTCTCTCATCAGTGTTTCTAGCTCTTTCTCCCTCTGCCTTTCTCTCTCTCTCAAATCATTAAAGAGCCTTGCTAGTTTGGCTCAGCGGTTAGAGTGTCAGCCTGCGGACCAGAGAGACCCGGGTTTGGTTCTCGCTAAGGGCACGTACCTTGGTTGTAGTTTGTCCCCGCCCCAGTTGGGGTTGTGTGGGTGGCAACTAGTCGATGTGTCTCTCTCACATCGATGTTTCTCTTTTTTCCTCTCTTCCCCCTCTGGCTCTATCTGAAGATACATGCAAAAACTATCCTCAGATGAGGATAAAAAAAGAGAAATCAATGAAAGAATTATAATAATAAGCAGCAACAAAAGCAAAAAGCCATGAAAATATTCACAGCACAGTTTCCTGAGATGTTACCTCGAGGTTTAGGGGTAAACTGAGGCATACTCACACGTTCTCTCCTTTGTCACCTGAGAGCCGTGTGACCGATCATACTGGTATCAGGATGAAAGGGTTGTTGGGTGGAGGATGGAAGGTTGGTTTGACAGCTGAGACATTTTCCATGAACAACGTGGTGGAGAACCAACTTGTTTGAGATGGGAGACGTTCAAGATCTGAGGTTTGACTGTAAATTCCTCCTCTTCTAAGCCGGCAGTGACCGAGGCTCTGCTGGTGCTCCTCATGGACCGTCATCAGCCCTGCAGCGGAATTTGCACGTGGCCTGGCCCTGCCCAGTGCACTTACGCAACCGGCGGCAGGTAGTGCACAGTGTCAGTGTCCTGCCGCGGGAAAGCGCGGGGACAACCTGGGCTCTGAGGACACCTGCCTTCACCTCTTGCCCAGCCCAGCCCCTTCCCTCTCCAGAGCAAGCACAGTGAATTTTCCTCATTCATCTTGTCTATTGTTTTGTTTTAGTCGCTGTTTTATTTTTATTTTTATTTGTTTGGTCCCCACTGGAATATGAAGCTCTGGGAGGCAGGGCCTGGGTGGAGACGCTGGGTGAGGTGCCCCAGCCGAGTCTGAGGGCAGGGTGGAATCTTGTCCTATTTTCATGTTTGATGTTTGTTCATCATGAAGATTTTGGCATTAATTTTGAAATTTTTAAATACTTCATTGGTACCCTGGCGGTTGGCTTGGTTGGTTGGAGCACCTTCCCGTATACCAAAAGGTTTCGGGTCCAATCCCCGCATGGACGACGGGGGAGGCAAGCAATGATACATCGATGTTTCTCTCTGACAATGAATAAAAACACATCCTTGGCTGAGGCTTAAAAAACGACTGCATTAGAATATTATTTTTCTTGATCACTGAGTTTAATGCCCCGGAAACTCTGCGCCCGTGCAGGGGTCCCTTCCACCCTGGAGGGGACTGAGACTCGGCTCCCAGGACCTCTAAAGGTGCGACACAGTTCAATATTCTGATTCTCTGAGTGAAATGTCCTTTGAAAACCTCCCCAGATTACTTGCAGGACTCCCAGGCAGGGCACTGGAGGTCCGGGCAATCCCGGGATGGAATTGGGGAGGCGTCTCCCAACTGGCCCGCCCCTGCCCCTCCAGAGGGAACGTCCTTGGCGCTCCCAGGTCGGCAGAAGCCCCGGGGGCAGCTGAGGCCCGGGTGCAGGGTGGGAGCAAGGAGTGGGGGGCGGGGCGGGGGGCGGGCGCAGGGCAGGGCTAGGAGCCCAGAGCAGCGCGGAGACTGAGTGACATGCGGGGAGGGCAGTGGAGAGGGGCGGGGCGCAGGGGGATAGCTCAAGGGCTGGTGTGTGTGTGTGTGTGTGTGAGGGGGGGGGTTCTCTCCAGATGCTGCGTAGTAATCGCTGCTGTTGCACCTGGAGTCGCTGGTGTCAGTGGATTTTCTCTGCCCTGTGTGCCCAGTGCGACGCTCCTGCCCCAGCGCCAGGCCAAGGCCGGTGTTGAGCCCAGGGAGGGTCTTGCGTGGGCCCTGGCGCTGGGCCCTGTGAAAAGAGGCCTGACACCTGGACGGGCCTTCAGGTGACCCTGCGCCTGCACGTGACCGTTTATCTGCGAAGGTGACCATCTGTCTGCAAGTGACCACTTACCTGCGCTCTCCGCCGCCCTCCTCGCTCCTTTCTCCCGCAAGTGTCCTCCGTAGTTGTTCCGGTTCAGGCCAAGGTGGATGTGCTGGGCGGGCGGCACCTGGTGACCCCCGGCGGCACGTGGGTGGAGGCCGAGGCGGCGCTGCAGAACAAGGTGGTGGCGCTGTACTTCGGGGCGGTCCGCTGCGCGCCCAGCCGCGACTTTACACCGCTGCTCTGCGACTTCTACGTGGATCTGGTGGAGCAGGCGCGCCGGCCCGCGCCCTTGGCTGTGGTCTTGGTGTCCACCGACAGCAGTGCACAGGAGATGCAGGACTTCATGCGTCTGCTGCCCGGCTCCTGGCTTGCTCTGCCCTTCCACCACCCCTACCGGCAGTGAGTGTGGCCTGGGCTGGAATTCGCTGGCGCTTCCCAGGAGCCTGGAGTCCTGTGCCCAGCGCCCTGAACCCCTCACCTGTCTCTGCAGTTGGGAGCCTGTCGCCCCCGCCCCCACCCAGATCTGGCCGCTCACTGGCCCTAAGTAGTTTCTGCTCAGGTTCCCAGGGAGGCTATAGCAGTTGGAGGACTGGAACTTCCGTGTCCCTGGGGGGCTTGGTGGTCTGGACCCTCTGGCTTGGAAAGTCTGCATTTCTCAGGAGCTCAGGTGATGCTGCAGTGCGCAGAGCCCACTCTGGGGTCTGCAGCCTCCGGCTTCCCGCCCCACAGCACAGGGAAGACCCCGAGTCTGAAGAGCAGTAGAAGGGACTTGGAGGTCGCTCTGGTCAGAACCGGAGACCGTGGGTGGCTGACCAGGCCAGCAGTGCGAGGGCTGGGGGGCGAGGTGCCCGGGCTGGGCCTTGGCTGCGGGAGGGAAAACCCAGTGCTGGCCAAGCTGTAGTTTCGTTTTTACTGCCAATGGCTGGGATTTCCTAAGGGTTAAGGCAGTTCCTGTACTGACTGCAGGTGAACCAGGTCCCTGGATTCCTGGGGAGGCAGATGTCAGAGGTGACAAAAACCTTGCTCTGAAGGATCTCACCCAGTCCTTGCCTTAGAAAGGACGTGACAGGGTGGAGACGCTCAGCTTCGTTGGATTTCCGTTTGTGAACGAACTAAAAATTGACTGTAGGTCTTCATTGGCCGCAGTCACGGACTCAGCCCAGTGGACTTGCCGGGGAGAGGGAGCAGGTGGAGGGAGGACTTGAGGGTGGATTGGCACAAGGGGACTATGGCTTGGGCCATAATGTCCAGCATCATGGGGTCTCCTGTGTTGTAAGCGTCCAGACTTGGGTTTAAATGGCACTCACAAGGTGTATTACTCCATCCCCTTAGCAGACACAGAGAATTTCTGGGCTTTGTTTTACAGGGGCCCTTGGGGCATTTCTCTGGGTATTACTATTATTATTTTATTTTCAGATAGAGTTGGAGGGAGAGAGGGAGGAAGAAAGAGAGAGAGAAACATCGATGTGTGAGAGACACATCAACTAGTTGTCACCTGCACGACCCCAACCTAGCCGAACTGCAACCCGGGTGCCCGCCTGAGACTCTCTGGTCCGTGGGCGACGCTCTGACCGCTGAGCCAAACCAGCCAGGACTCTCTGGATATTATTATTTAGTTGTGGCATTAACCCCCCAAATTAATTGTTTGAGAGGACATTCCTTCTGGACAATTAAAAATGGAAGCTAACTTTGGAAGTCGGATGGAAGTGTAAATCTTTCCCCAGCATCTGCTTTCAGTGATGCTGAGGGAGAGAGGAGGTGGCGGGCAGACTTTTTTCAGGAAGTAGCAAAGTCAAAGACAAGAAGTCCAAGTGACTGTGATTCCCTGGGCAAAAGGATGCATTTTAACATCACCTCTACTGCTGGTTGTAAAATGCCTTTTGATTTGCTTAGTGCTCATTATATACAGCTTTTGAAGGAACACAGTTTTGAAGGGGACAGTAATCAAGCCAAGGGTTCAGGCCCGGGGCAGAGCCCAGCTCTGGGATTCACTGGTAGGGTGACCCGAGGCAAGGTATGAATTGCTGAGCATAATGGTGCATCATAGATGGCCTGGGACTGCATGGACATGAATCAGACCCATGTCAGCTGGTTGGGTACCAGCACTTTGTGTTTACTGAGGCACGGAGGCCGCCATTCTGCCACAGCTACTGCTTCCTCTGAGGACAGCCTGCTCTTGCTGGGATGAGTGCATCCGAACTCCCTCCTGCTTCCCTCATCACTTGCTCAAGGTCCAAAGCTCATGAGGCCCCCTGCAGGCAGCTGAGCAGCTCAGGCCCCAGGAGGTGCCTGGCCTCACTGGACCATCTCAGGCCAGGACCCTGATCTCTGGAGGGACCCAGCTTCAGGTGTTTCTTTTGAGGAAGTTAGCTCCTTGACCCTACCCCTTTCCCAACTGCTCTTCCTTAGCCCTGTCATTGCTGTTTGTAAGTTCGGAAATGGGCTATTTTGGAGGGGTTCTTGGAGCTGTGCCCCCAGTTCTGGTGATTGCAGCCTGAACTAATGGAATCAGATAGGAGCAAAGTGGAAGTAGCCACCACCAAGGAGAACTGAAGAGTGTAGGAAGCATCCAAGGGGGACGGGAAACTCCCACTGTGTTCAGAACACAGCACTCTGCTTAGTGGGGCTGGGGCAGTAATTTCCTGGGCCCCCTGGGTTCTGGTGAGTGCCCTGGGCTGTATTCCCTCAGTGACTGTTATCTGTGGTGTGTCTTCTCTTTCCCCACCTGCAGCTGGTAGAAGTGGACCTCTTGGTATGCCGCGAGATCATGAATTTCCAGAGGCCCCCAAGGGAGGATGAGGCATTATGGAAAGCTTTATTGATTGTGTATCATTAAGGGAGTTCCCCTCTAAGGTCCCATGTCCCTACATTACACCATGGAAAAAGTCCCATTTGTCTTCAGCAGAGCCAGAATGAAAGCCAGTGTCCAGAGTCTTTGCTCCATATTAAAGCCCTCTCCAGTCCAGCATCTGGCCAGGTTAGTTTGTGTTTTCAGCTGCAGTCCTTTGCATATAGGGTCTGCATGGCCATGGGGTCACAGAACAAGCCAGTACAAAGAAGCAGGAGCGAATCAAGAGGATTTTACGTAGAAGCTTATCCAATGAATCCTTCAGGATTCTGTGTGCTTGCAGTGGCTCCACCCTTCTAGCCAATCATCTTTTTCTCAGGTTAGACTGACAGCAAGCACCTTCGCTACGTCACTCTGACTTCACTGCACATGCCTCCGTTTCCCCCTTTGTTGGACCCCTTCCCCCAGTGATCTGCAGTGAATGGACCTGTGTACCCCGGGGAGTTAAAACTTGCTGTTTCCTTGTAATGTTGCCCAGGTGACCATGCCTATAATGCCTGGCCTCTCTTTTGCTTTCTTCCTACTTTTATAATTAACTAGCTAGTTTCCATGGTCGCAGCTGTGCATTGGATTACTGCTGATGGTGAGCCATGAGAGGAAGAGAGGAAATCACTACAGAGCCCGAACAGGGTCACGTTGGCATGGCTGGCAATGCCCCGGCAGGAAGAAAATGCCTGGGGTGGCTCACCTTGTCTTCAAAGTTGCTTAGATCTTGGCTTTGCAGTGCAGCCCCCTAAAACCAGTGTGCATGCCACTCCTCTGCCTGGGCAGAGACATGTTTACTGGCATCCCTCCAATCAGAGGCAGCGTGGGCAAGAGGAGGGGCTGACCTTCCAGGCCGGAACAGGGGGACAGCACCAATGACAGGCCATCCCGCCTGGCTTCCTTCCCTTTGTTATGGGCCCAAGAAAGAAGTGACAACTAAATTTACCAGCAGGAATTTCTGTCACATGCTGCTGTGCACACGAGGCCTGCTCGGTGGTGATGTCACACGGACTTTGCGGCTGTTTCTTGGTGCTCTCATGCTCATTTGGGCTCTGGAACCTCAGCAGAGCCCAGCAAGGCCTGGAGTACCCCCACCCTGCTCGGGTTCTCACCACTGCCCCCAGCCCCGGGCCCGGCGAAAGGAGCGCCTTGGCCTCCAGGTCAGCAGGTTTGGGTTGGATGGAAAACCAGCAGTGTGGCTCCACTTCCCGGTAGAGAACGTTCCATCGGAGCCCGCAGGCCGTGGGGGGAAGCAAGTACGTGTGCTGCCCAACTGCCCTCTGCGCCTGGGCCCAGCTCCGCCTGGACTCACTGACCACACACGGCCCTGTCCGGCCCGCATCCGCTGAGTCCATGGCTCTCCAGGCCTTTCCTGTCTTTCTGCTCCTTTCTACTCCTTCCTTTAGGCCCTGGACCGTCAGAATATTCTTTTTCTTTTTATCCTCACCCAAGGACATTTTTGCATTTATCTTTAGGTAGAGTGGGAGGGAGAGAGGGAGGAAGAGAGAGAGAAACATCGATGTGAGAGAGACACATCAAGTGGTCACCACCCACACAACCCCAACCAGGGCCGGGGACATACTGCAATGAGGTGTGTGCCCTTAGTGGGAATCGATCCCGGGACTCTCTGGTCCGTGGGCCGACGCTCTAACCGCTGAGCCAAACTGGCAAGGGCTGGTGAGAATATTCTAACTGGTCCGCTGGCCTCGGTGTCCCCATTTAATGGATTCCTACTCTCACACCTGCCTGATCGCATCAAAGACAGATCTGTCCTGCCATGCCCTCCCCCGCTCTCCAGGCTCCCCGAGTCCTGGTGCCTGCGTGCTGTCTGCCCCTTGCCTGCCCTCCAGCGTTTGACCACACTTGTCTGCCACCCCTGCCCTCTCCACCTGTGTTCTGTCCAGGCTGGACACCTGAAGTTCCAGAACACTTTGCACACTTTCTCACCTCTAAAGGTTTGCACACCATGTGCTCCAAACCCTAGCGCCTCCTTGAGAGTCCCTCCTCCATGTCCCCGGGGACACCGGGAGCATATCTGGCCTGAGAGGCCTGTGCCCTTCATAGCCCGAACCTAATACCAGCCCGTGTGGAAGTGAGTGTTTGGGGCTCTCTGTAACCCCTAAGGTCAGACTAGACGTCGTCCAGAGCTCAGTGTCTGTAGGGTGCTTTTTGGATGCATGATTGGAACAAGTAGAGAGACTTGCTCTGTAACAGTCTGCTGGTGGCCAAGGTGGAAAGAGACTGGGGCTAAAAGCTGCCATGGTGACGTGGATGTGGTTGTGCCAGGGACGGTGAGGCACTGCATTAGGTGAAGGGAGGACACCAAGGTTGCAATGGCAGCAAGAGGGCCAGGCGGGACTAGGCTCTCAGATTCGCTGAAATGGTTAAAGCGCTCGGGTATCACTGTTTCCCTCTGCCCAGGAACAAGCTTCTCTCCTTTCCAAGGTGCCGCCTATTCTCTCTGGACACAGCTCAGCATCCAGAGGGGATGAGGGGACTCCAGGGGAGGAGGGCGTGGCTCCTGTGGGGCTCCAAGGTTACAGTTGTCCTCAGGCAGAGGCTGCCAGGGTGGGGATTTGAGGGCCCCCACTGGTGATGCTTTCGTGATCAGCTGGGGCAACAGAATGTCTCTTCCAAACCTCCTCCCTGTTTCTGGAAACCCCACTCACCTCTCACCCGCTGACTATGTCAGAGCTTGATTTAATGTTGCAAGTGATCAAAATCACAACAACTCCAAGCTGAAACACATGCAGAAAATCCATCTGCTTCACTGAATCACCCAGCAGCCAGGAGCTGGTCTGGAGGTGGGAGTCCACTGAGGATATAGTTTTGTTTTGTTTCTGTTGATTATTTATTTATTTATTTTATAGAGAGTGGGAGGGATGGGGGGGGAGAGAGAGAGAGAGAGAGAGAGAGAGAGAGAGAGAGAGAGAGAGAGAGAGAAACATGGATGTTGAGTGAGACGCATGGATTGGTTGCCTCCCGCACAGCCCTGGTTGGGGCCGGGGAGACCTGCAAACCAGGTACGTGCCCTTGACTGGAATCAAACCTGCAACCCTTTGGTCTGCCGGCCAATGCTCTAACCGCTGAGCCCAGCTGGCAGGGCAAGATACAGTAGTATGGCCCTGCCTTCTGCCGTCGTTTCATGCTCAGGCTGCAGCCAGTGCCACCTGGCACACCCAGCCTCTGCTTGTTGGGGGGACGCCGGCTGTGGTGTCCTGGGCGGTGGACTCCCACACCTCCCTCCGTCCCAGCACACAAGCAAGTGCCCCACGGCGTCTCACAGGGCCTGCGTCCGCTTGTTACCCCTTCTTCTGCTGGTTGTCACTGATCTGTCTGTCCCCTTGGATTGCAGTTTGACACGATGAGAGTTTGTCAATAGTTCACGTTTGTTTTCCTGTATTTCTTTTTCCTTCTCATGTAAGTAGTGGACATGTGCGGGCCCGCTTCCAGAAGCTGCTGGCGTGGCGGCTGCCTTCGGGGTTTCCTTACGGAACTGGCTGTCCGGTGGCTGCTGGCAGTTCCTTGTGTTCCTGGAGCGACAGGGCCATCTGCCTGTGCCCCTGAGTGCAGGATCGATCCCCGATATTCCGTTTTCCCTTCCTTGGCCCAGTCTTGGTAGAGCTTTGCTCTATTTTTTACTTTCCTAAGAAGTTGGTTTGGTTTTATTGCTCACCATATTTTTTAAAATGTCTTTATTGATTTTTTTAGAAGAGACGAAGGGACAGATAGAAATATTGATGTGAGACAGAAACATCAATGGGCTGCCTCCTGCACGCCCCCTACTGGGGATCGAGCCAGCAACCCAGGCATGTGCCCTGACCAAGACTTGAACCAGGACCTCTCAGTCCATGGGAGGAGGCTCAATCCACTGAGCCACACTGGCTGGGCCACTCACAGATTCATTTTCTGTATCAGTGATTTCTCTTCTTAATCTTCTTTTGCCTTTTTCACCTTATTTATGTTAACTCCATCACTGGTTTTCTAGCCTCTTGAATTAGATGCGGAACTCGGCAATCTAGAGACCCTCTAGTTTTGGATAAAGGTGTTTAGGGCTGCAGCTTCCTAACTGTCCAATTGTATCTCCAGCTTGGACTCTGGCACGTATTCCATATGGCTTTGTGCTGATGATTTTGTAGCCTGCTTTGCTACTTCACATGTAATATACATATATGGTTATTTGGTTTTTAAGCTCATTCCAAACAAGGGCTTTCTATTGGTTTCCAGTTCCATTAGATTACGGTATGACGAAGTGGTCTGTGTACCACTGATTATTTGAAATGTAGTTAGACCCCCTCAGTGACTGAGAGCAGGGCCGGTTGTCACCATGGGGTAGATGTTTGCACTGCGGTGTGTTCTCCCTCTGGTGGGTGGAGGTGCTGTGCGTTTTCCTGCTCAGGGTGCGCTTTGCCTGTGGCCTGGGTGCTGGAACCCCGTGGGAGACCTGATGGAGAAGTCAGGAAGATTTGGCGACAGGAGGGTCTCAGGTGCATGTTTCCTTCCATTCAGGTTCAGTCCTGAGGCTGACAGATGAGGGAGTCAGATTACTGTTGACAGGTGGCCCTTGCAAGCTGGCGGTGGACAGAGGAGGGGGTTTTCATCAGCCGTCCTGTCCTGGGGGCAGTAATCCCTGTGAAGGTCATGGGGAGATCTGCAAGACTAAGAAGGCAGATGCTGCTTTCCCTAAATCGATCCAGTTCATTTTGCCAGAGGCCTCTTATGGGTTACACTTGATGGTGACGTAGCCAGGAAAGGTTTCCTCCATGTGAATCAGCATGGCCTTGAATTTGTAGGGCAGAAAGTTGAATAAGGTTTGACCTTTATTTAGAACTCACAGAATTTTAACGTTTACCATTCTACATACTGCATCTTTTTCAGCTTCTTGAGCTGTGAAGAGGACTGTGACCTTACTGTTTGTTGGTGGGTGCAGGATCGCAGTGTGCAATACAACAGCCACTGGCCACATGTCACTTAAATTTAAATGAAAGTGACCTCAGATAAAAGACTCAGTTCCTCAGTCACAACAACCACATTGTGAGGGCTCATCTGTCCCCATGGCCTTGGGCAGCACAGGCGCAGGGCAGCCCCAGCACAGTAGACATGTCTGTGGACAGCTGGCCTGGCACCAGGTAACAGCAGGAAGGAAGGAGGAGGGTGTGCAGGGTGGGCTGGTGGGCACAGGGGAGGCCCTGGTCCCTTCAGAGGTGTGGAAGCACCTTTCCTGCTCCCATGCGGACTTCCTGGCTTGGGTTCTTTTCTCCCACAGTGAGCTGAGAACCAGGTACCACATCACAGCCACCCCCAAGCTTGTGATCCTGAAACCCAGTGGGGAGATCATCACCGACAAGGGGCAAAAGCAGATCCAGGAGCAGGGGCGGGCCTGCATCCAGAACTGAGCGGCGGCTGCTGACATCTTTCAGAACTTCTCTGGGTGAAGTGGGGGTCTCAGGGTGCAGTGGGGGTCTCCGGGTGAAGTGAGGGTCTCCGGGTGCAGTGGGGGTCTCCGGGTGCAGTGGGGTCTCCGGGTGCAGTGAGTGTCTCCAGGTGAAGTGAGGGTCTCCGGGTGCGGTGGGGATCTCCAGGTGAAGTGAGGGTCTCTGGGTGAAGTGAGGGTCTCCGGGTGCAGTGGGGGTCTCTGGGTGCAGTGAGGGTCTGCGGCTGCAGCAAGAATGCAGGGAGGGGGGCAGGTGGCTCAGGGAACTGCTCTGGTTCTGCTCCCTGAGGCTGCTTCAGCTATTTTATTGTCCTTAGTACAGCTCTCCCCACATGCCCTTAACTGTTTGCACTGAGCTACTGGAAATCTATGCACAACATGTATCAGTGCAGGCTCTTCATGTAATGCATTCATTGACACATTTTCTGGAGATCTACTCCTTGTAAGGATATACTTTCATAGCTACATTTATTACTACCATTTGCAGAATAAATATGCTTTAATAAACAAGCCTGTTTCCATCGGGGCCTCTGATTTCCTTTCTTTTCCGGGCAAACCAGTGCCCGACGCGGAGAGCAAAGCCCTCGAGAGAGACTGCTCACACTCTGCTCTGTTTTCCAAGGGGGTGGTTTTTAATTATTAGCGTTCTTGAGATTTTTTTCCTTCTCTTTGGTTTTGTTTCTCACATTTATTTATTTATTTATTTATTTATTTATTTATTTATTTATTTATTTATAGGAAGGGAGAGGGAGAGAGAGATGGAAGCATCAATGAGGGAGAATATTGATTGGCTGCCTCCTGCAGGCCCCCCACAGGGGATTTGGCCCACAACCTGCTCTGACCGGGAATTGAACTGGTGACCTCTTGGTGCATGAGTGGATGCTCAACCACTGAACCACACCTGCTGGGCCTCGTATTTACGTTTAATAGCATCATAATTGACAGACTTGACCCATGACCCATCTAAGACAACAGACCTTTTATTTAATCACAGTAAGTTTCCAGCCCCACCCACCCAGCTCTGTTGTAGAAATGCCCACATGCTGCCTGAGGAGTATCTGGGCGCCCCCACCCCCATGCCAGCTCTACCTGGCACCTCACCCCCCACTTTAAACTTTAAACAGCCCTTGAAAACCTCCCTCCCTCCCAGAGACAGGCCCACTAGCTCTCTATAGCTCTCCGCCCCTTTTCTCCCTGGGAAGGCGAATAACCCTCTTTCTGTTCAGTCCTCTGTGAATTCTTTCACAGCGCGGGAGGGAGAAGCATCGGAGCCACCTGACAATAGCGCCCTCGGAAGACGTGGACATGTCAAGGCTGCGTGGTCACATATTCAGGGCCAGACCTCGACATCTCCTGAAAGATGCCTATGGATCCGGGTAGCAAGAGCCCACACCCAGGGTTTGACATAGAAGAGGGGCCCTGGCCGGGTAGCTCAGTTGGTTAGTGTCATCTCCATATGCCCAGGTTGTGGGTTCGATCCCTGGTCCGGGTACCTGCAAGAATCAACCAATGATGCACAAGTAAGTGGAATAACAAGTTGATTCTCTCAAAAACCAATACGGTCTCCCTCGCACATCGCGCTTCGCCGTCCCCGGCTCACTCTATGGAGGTTTTCCGAGCACAGGGTGGTGTTTGAAAAACCCGCGGCAGAGCGAAGCCGCGACGTGGGGGCGCGAAGTGGGGAGGGCGCCGTATAAATGCAGAATCCTGCTGCGGAAATTCACTTACCGCGGCAGAGGCTGGAACTGATTGGCCGCGATAAACGAGGGCCGACTGTAAATTACACAATAATAATAAAGTTAATATAAACTCTGCTTCTAGAAAAAAGAAAGAAAATACAAGAGGGGGGCCATCAGGCTTCCAGTTTCCAGCTCCGGTCCCCCATCTCGCTGGGCAGTCGCCAGGCCCTTCACTCTTTCCCAGCTGTGTGTTCTGGATGATTGGGATCCTGAAACACTGACACCCACCTCGACCCCAGCCCCCACCTGCGCCCCGCGGCCCCCAGGTCCCCCAGCTGGGAATTGGAGCAAATCTGTCCCTGTAGGGCCCAAGAATCCCTGGGTTTCCCTAACAGGCCCTGTGTGGGGCCGTGAGGGGCAGCGTGGAGAAGGCATTGGGTGGCTTTGGTCAACCCAGAGTGAGAACTGAGCCCACGAGGGTAAGACCATGTTGGTTTCATCAGAACAGGGCTGGAGCCATGGCTCAGTGACTCTGACCTCCCTCCCCCGTCCTCTGTCAGTCAAGTTCTCTCCACAATGACCTACCCTCATTGGGGTCCATGGGTTGACTAAAGACATCGTCGATGGAGTTAATCTGGTCATGATGTGCCCCAGAAATAAAGCATGTAGGAATGCAGTTCTCTTCCTAAAACAATACATGAGGTATTCATTTATTTGTGGTATTTTTTCCAGCTTTGTTGAAATATAATTAACATTGTGTAAGTTTAAGGTGTACGGCATGCCGATTTGATAATTTATATATGACAAAATGATGACCACCACAGCTCAGCTGACACCTCCACCCTGTCACATGGGGACCATGTCATTTTGGTGGCAAGAACATTTAAAATCTGGGCATCTCTTGCAGGTGGAATGTCCACACACCGTGTGAATGGTGTGTGTGTGTGTCTGTGTAAAACCACAACCACAGATTCTTAAAGACTGGAGATGTGTCCTTCCTGGTAAACATGTTTGTCGCTGCCACAGGGGAGCCCAAGCCCCGCGCTGACTGTGGGTGGCTCAGGGTGGTGGGAGGGGCTGTGTGCCCTGGGTGTCAGGACCCGGAGGGAGGGAAGGTCCCGGACAGAGGTCACTCCACAGCCGCCACAGCCACTCCAACCTGCTGGCGGTTCCTTCTCCCCCAGGGCATGGCCTGGGAGACTGATGTGTCATTTATATTATTGTCCCCAGACACATTTCCTTTATTATTACTTTTTTATCCTCACCTGAAGACATTTTTGCACTTATCTTCAGACAGAGCCAGAAGGAGGAGAGAGGGAGGGAGAGAGAGAGAAACATCGAACAGAGAGAGACACATCGAGTGGTTGCCACCCACACGACCCCAACCAGGACTGGGGACAAACTGCAACCGAGGTACGTGCCCTTAGTGGGAATCAAACCCGGGCCTCTCTGGTCTGCGGACCAACGCTCTAAATGCTGAGCCAAACTGGCTAGGACCACATTTCCTTTAATAACATCCCTAACAAATACTTTTTCCTAATTTCAGGCAGAGCACATCTGTCTCTCCTTCAGGGGACTCTGTAACTGGTTGCATGTCTATAAGCACCTTTTGCCACTTACATTACAATGAGAAAACACTGTGGGAAATGAGGGAAAGCCCCGTCTTCCAGAGGTAAAGCCGCTGCCGGTGTTTTCATACTAAAGCCACCCGAGGACTCACTGATCCCCGTCTTCCCCCTACAGCCGTGAGACTCTCGTGTGGTCCTGGACCGCCAGGAGCAGCGTCAGGTTGATGACCCTGAGTGCAGGCTGGGAGCTGGAGCCACGCGGCGCGCTGTGGTCGGCTCAGGCTGCGTCACAGGACACTGCAGACATGTATTTCTCTGGAGGCTGAAGTCCGAGGTCAAGGTGTCGGCATGGCTGTTCCTGGTGAGGGCTCTTTCCTGCTTGCAGATGGTCACCTTCCGATGGTCTTCACATGGAGAGAGAGCCCTGGCGTCTTGCAAGGGCAGTGATCCCATCACTGGGCCACCCCCTGACGGCCTCATCTAAACCTAATCACCTCCCAAAGGCTTCATCTCAATACCAGTGCCTGGGGGAGGGCTTCAACATGTGAATTTTAGGGGCGCACAAACATTCATGGCAGTCACCTCACGTTAGTTCTTTCAGTGGGGAGGGAGTCTAGGGTCTAAGGACCTCATGAACAGATCCCACGGGTCCTAGATGTGCCGGGTCTCTAAGAGGCATCGGGAGCCCCAGGGCCTGGTCCGTGGATTGTTCCCCCGGGTAGACCAGTGGTTCTCATCCCCCGTGCTGGCTGGGATCACTGTGTGTGGGTCGTTTGGTGGAGCTTCCAAGCATTTCTTCTGGTTTCGTCTTTTGTTTTAAACATCATTTAAAAAACCATTTGCCATTATTATTATTTTTTTTGGTTAATCCTCACCTGAGGATATTTTCCCATTGATTTTTAGAGAGGGTGGAAGGGAGGAAGGGAGGGAGAGAAACATCAATGTGAGAGTAACACATCAATGGGTTGCCTCCTGCACGACCCCGACCAGGGCTGGGATACAATCTGCAACTCAGGCACACACCCCGGACCAGGAATTGAACCCAAAACCCTTTTTTTCCCCATGGGCCAATGCTCTAACTGCTGACCCAAACCAGCCAGGGCCATTTGCCATTATTTTAATGTATTTGTTAGGGAGTGAAATTATATGTATTCAAATTGCCTGCTTGCTAAGAAGAATTAGAAGTCTAAGTTTAAGTTTGCAACACCACAAGGTTATTTAGTTTAGTAAATTGACGAAATGCTGTGTAAGTATAGTTTTCTGCTTTAAATGTGAATGTCTAATCTTTACCGTGTCTCCACGATTGCAATCTCATGCTCAGTGTTATTGCTGCACTCTCTCTCTGACGCCCTCTGTCTGTGCAGAAGGGAACCACAGCGGTGGGCAGCGCGGGCACAGCTCCCCTTGACAGACAGAAAGGATGAGTGTAACCTGAGTGCAGGTAGCCCTGAGCCTTCCGTCTAAAATGCTGGCTGATGCCGCTCTGCTCCTCATGAAACCCTCTGTCCCCTGGGTGGTCTCTCAGAACACATCCTCGTTGGCAACAGTAATTAGAAGGGAATCGCAATGACTATTTGCATTGCTTGAAAAATAATTGAGAAGACCTAGTCCACAACCCAAGCCACACATCTCCATCTCCTGGTGCTCTGCTCCCCAGGCTCCTCCCAAATCTCTGCCCCCGAGGCCAGCCCACACAGCTCTGTTCCAGGCCCTTCTCCTCTCCGGACTCCTCCTCACCCCAGGTTTTAGCGGCT